AAAGTATATATTCGTGATCAGCTTTTCAAGCTCTATCAAACCATATACATATGAGCGAAAACAAAAATTCACTCCAATTTTGCATTTCCGCTACCTTACTTTGAGATTAACTTGCTTGTACAATAGAAGTTAGGGTGTCATATGAAATATTACAGGATTCTTTTTGTTTTTCTTTCTGTTTTCTTTTATGTTGTCTATTAATTATTGGTATATTATGTAAATTTTGAAGCAATATGTCTAGTTCGGCCATAAACTGTTCAACGGGACGCCCGGGTTTAACTTTCTTTTCAAAGAATCGAGCTTCAATTTTTCGCTTGAGAGCAGCCAATTCAATTGTACGTCGTCGAGATACCGTTTTTGAATCATTGTGTATAAACCGAGGACCTAATTTTAGCAGTTCATATTCTTCCTCGGTTAATCGAATTTGTGCTTCATTAATTATGGCTGGAGCAAGAATTTCTCGCCCAGCGATCGGATTAGAGTCGGACAATTACTTCGTGTGGATCGTTTGTGTCGCCCTCGACTTGCTGTTGGAATAAAAAGTAAATCGATTGTTCAGCCTCTACATAAATTTAACCGTTTTTCACGTAAATTATAATAATGTTTGAATGCTGCATAACCAGGTTCAGCTTCAAAACCATCATCATTATCTTGAGGAAAATCTTCAATAATACGTTTAATTTCATTTGATAATAATTCATTTTCACGAGCCAATGCTTGTACACAAAATGTCATTGCTTGCGTTTGAAATTCTTTAGTAATTTGACGCATTTGATTATATGTAGCTTGAGCTTCATCTTGATTAATAATATATTCATCAATTTTAAATGATAAATCGACTTTTGCAGTACATTTTCGAGGCAAATCATATTCAACACGTTTTAATGCTGCAAGATAATTTTTATTTTTAGTTGATCAAAGTTTCATTTTAGGTTTCAAAGCTAAATGGATATTCCATTAAGATGAAGTAGCTATTTGTTCAAAGTCTTCGAGAGCTTTGAATTCATCTAGTTGAGCTTTCGTCAATTGAATACGAGTTTTCCTGCATCTTTTTAACATATTGAGTACAATGTTGCGAATATTTCAATATTAATTTTTCAAGTTCTTCAGTTTTATTTCGAATTTTATCCAAAGATAATTGACTAGCAATTGGTCTTGCTGCAGTTGCTGCTGTTGATTCAGTAGAAGTCGGTGCAGTTGTTGCTATAGTAGTTGTAGTAGGTTGAGCTGTAACATTTTGAGTTGTAGTATCAGCTGCTGATTTACCTTTTTTATATTCTGGTACTTGTGACCAATACGTACGAAGTTGAATTTTCAAATCAGATATCGCTGCATTAGCTTGAACAATTGCAGCTGTTAATTGGTTAATTTTCTTTTTAACAAATTGAGTACTTACAAAATCATCACGTCTCTTTGTTCGTTGAATGATTTCTTTTGCCCAATGTTTATTTTCAGCACCCATTCTTAAATAATTGTGCCATACTTGAATATCATAACTTGCTCAAATCCATTCATCATAATCAAGAAATGAAGCCATTCAATAAGCATGATTATCACTAGTATCAAGATTTACCTTTGAGGATGTTTCATTTTGTACCTATGTCACTATGCGATTATATGAAACATATGCCCGACTTTTCTTTTTCTCGTTCTTTTAATTTTTTTACTAGCTTTTGGATACGCTAATGCTTCATTTTCATCAACATTTGATACAAGATCAACATCATCATTCTGGTTATTTTCGGTCAGTAAAGCAAATCTATTGTTTTCAAGTAAACTTTCATTTTGACGATATTTCTGTTGTCGAATTCGTCTTTGTCGACGCCGAATTGATTCTGTTGTTGCTTATCGCTATTGATTTAATTGATAAGCTTGGGGCTGTTATTGCTGTTGATTTGTATTGTTTCCCTTATTAACAGCAAATGGTTGAGGTGTATTTGTAACAGAAGTTGCTCTTTGTGGTAATGCATCGATTGGCACATTATTTATATTTGTAGTTATAGTTATAGCTGCAGTTGTAGCTAAATTAAAATCAACAGACAGATTTGGTGAAGGTTGACGTAGTTGTATTGGCATAAAATCGTTTAATCGTATTTGCCTTGGATCACGTCTACATCGTCGTCGTATTGATCGACTTCGTCTTTGGTTTGGACGACTTCTTGGTCGATTTTGACTTATTCCACGTAGAGTTCTTCGAAAAACTCTTCTTTGTGCCAGTGGTTCAATGGATTGACTAACAATTCCATAGCCTGTATAAAATGGTTATGGCTGTGGTTGGTAGTTACGATTCTAATAAATATTTCGACGATAAAGGTTTCCAGGATAAATTTCTCCATTTGCATTTTGATATCGCCGATTTGGATAATTTCGATAATTTAATCTGTTGCCCTTGTGATTCAAAATATTGGCCCCTAAAACACCAATACAACGTTGATTCATTGCATATTCTTGTGGTGGTGGGGCTATAGGCTGTTGTGGTATTGGAATATGATTCTTATTCTTGGTATAAGTTATGGACGACATGAATCGTTTTACAAGTTGAGAGATAAGTGGATCAAATTTGAACAATAATATTCAAATAATTTGATGCCTGATATGATTGAGTGTAAGTAAATCAATGCGAAACAGATCGACTTATATTTCTAGGGTGTGGATGTGGGGTGTGCGTGTGTGGTTGTGGGTGTGGGTGTTGGTGTGGGTGTGGGTGTTGGTGTGGGTGTGGGGGTTGGTGTGGG